ACCCATGTGAAACTGTTTCTCTTTATCATCTCTCATTAAATGAGTGTGACTTTGTTAGAAAGACCAAAGGAAAGGCTTTGACCATGCAATTGCTTATTCTGGATTTCATTTCTGAATTCTAAATTTGGCTATATTTAGCAAAGCTATAACCGTCATCATGCCCAAAGCCAGGAAGAAGACACCATTCACAAACCACCCCCTGAAAATCTGCAGTTGCCACTAAAAAACCAGACTTCCCAGCAGGCAAAGACTTCTGAAGTGGGAGGGATCAAACTGGTGTTTGCGTCAGAGAAGACCTCAGGTGCTTAGAACCAACCTCTCTGCCTGGCACTAATGCTCTCCAGAACCTCGCTGCCTCTTCTTTTCTCTCCAACATACCTTCTGCTCTGGTCACACATATCCTCACTCTCCCCCTCATCTACTCCCTTCTGTACCACTGGTCATCCCACTCCCCCACCTGCTTCTCCTTCAAGCTGCTTGCCTCTCACTGAACCTTCAGGCCTGCTCCCCTGCCCCCAAACACCATCCCTCCCTTCCCCACAATTAGCATAGGGCTGATGCACAGATGGTAGCAGTGCATACTGGAGAGCTATTCAATAGTTACTCCAAAGACCCAGGGCCACTGAAGGAAGCGAGCAGCAAGTGAACAGCCGGGAAACAAAACGTAAAACAATTTCCTTCTACCATTCCATGTCCTTCTTTCCTTGCTTCTGGAAGGGAAACTTGTACTAACCCAGATGATACCACTAGTCAGTTATCCCTGAACTCATCATACTGTTTCACCACTCCACACTTGCATATACTACTCTCTCTGCTGGGAAGGCCTTGGGTAACCCTCATCTGGACCATGTGGTGGGCAAGTTCCATTCCTGTTCAAACCACTCTTCATCTATAAACCCTGGCCCTCAGGCCCCTTCTCTTTATCACCTCAGAACATCTTTTATCATCTACTATATATCAAGGGCCATACCAAGGGCTGGACACTAATCTTAGGTTTATTTGTTGGTCTATGAGCTCCTTAAGAGCCAGGCCCACATCCTATTCAAATTAGTAATTCTGGAATCTAATGCAGTTCCTGCCACAAAGAAGGCCTAATGAACATTCACTAAATGAATACATGTGTGCATCATATCAATACCAACACGATGTAATTATATGCTACACATGTGTGTATACAGACATACGTACATGTATACATATGTTTGTTTTAGGTATTTAAACCTCACTACCTTGTGATGTTGGTAGAAGAAATTGCAAGTTTACTGGTATGGAAATCCACTCAGTAGTTCTCATTAACTCTAGACCTGGATTCCTTCAGTGGAAGTAAGGAAACTCTCTGATGGAGCACGTGGTCCACCTTATACAGAACTGATACAGTTCTGGAAAGTGGTCTTGGACACAGCAGGTATTTAACAAACATTTACTGTTTAAAGCTTAGATGTAAGGCCTCATATAGCTAAGGACATATAATAAAAGCACAGCTCTTCAGTCCTTCTCTGAGCATTGCTCCAATTTTCCCATTGAGCTCATTCCAGAAGCTTAAACCAAATCTTCCCTTGACATCACATGCCCATGACCTCAGACATGATTAGGAAGTCATCATGGCATCCTCACTGAGGAAGCTAGAGAAAATATCCAGCCTGGAGACAGCCATATCCCTCTGAACTCATGGTCTAAAACTTCACTTCCCCCAAACAAGCCCCAATGGACTAGTAAGTGAAAGCAGACGAGCAGGGCTGATGCTGATGGGGAGATGGCAGCCCACGTATTCTCCTGTCTTACTCTAGCACCTCTTCCTCGGTGTTCTTGCATTCCTCACTATAAAGCATAGACTGATACCCATTTTAAAGAAACAGGGGTGACAGGTGGGATGTGGTGCTGAAGAGTCTGTGTTTAAAGCCCACCCTCCCAAACTGCCTGGTCACTGCCCTGGCAACTCGATGCACAATCCTCATCATCCTTGGACAACGCTGGCTGGGACTGGTGGTTAGGTCCACACCTGGGGACTCAAAAAGAAGAGGGTGCAGGAAGGAACATGGTCACCCAAAACATCTGTTGACCCTTCAAGGAGCTAGTGAGGCCTCTGCAGAAAAATATCTGATTCTGTCCACCCACAATGGGGAAAAGGATTGCTGCAGATTGCTACAGCCAAACTAACCTTCACATCCCCCCCCTCCACTCCCCCTTAACTACAAAAAGGATATAATGTTGCTGGCAAATAATGGCTACCATTCATTGAACACCTGAAAAATGTTAAATAATTCACATACATCGGCTCATTTGATATTCATGACCACTCCACAGGATAGGGGTTCTCAATCTTTAGCTTGCATCAGAATCTCTCCAGAAATCTGTTAAAGCCCCACCCTCATGGTTTATGGGGTGAGGCCTAATTTGCATTTCTAACAAGCTTCCATGTGATGCTGATGCTCCTGATCCAGGACTCCACGCTTTAAGAACCACTGCCATAGGGAAACAGATTCCAGAGAGATTTGAAATGCCTTATCCAAGGTTTCACAGCTAGTAAAGAACAGATGCAGAATTTGAACCTAGATCTGCCTGACTCTGTAGACACTGCTGGTAACCATGCTACGCTGTATGTGTGAATATTTGCCTCGTCTTACCAAACGCACTGGCAGCTCCTTAAAGGCAGACATCACCCTTTAGACCTCCCTATCATCCCTCTCAGAACTTAGTGGCACCTTTTTACTTAGTAGGTGCTACATAAATGATTTGTATACAGGCTCCTATATAGCTATATACTTCTAAGAGCTACAAATTCAAACTCACCTATAGTCAAAGAATATAAAGAGAACAATATCGCCAGATCCAGTTTTACGTGGGACTCTCTCCTGCTGCTCTGAGTCTTGGCCCATGCTGTCTCCACACCTGGATAACTCCTACTCATTCTTTGGTCAGTCACTTCCCGCAGAAAGCAATTCTTGGCTCTCTAAAACTGGGGGCCACTGCACCCTAAGCCTGTCTCCGTGATAGCGCATATCACTCTATTCTAACTGGTTGTTTTCCATCTCTCAACGTAGTCTGTAAACTATAGCATCTAGTTTTATGTCATATCCCCAGGGCCTAGCACAGTGCCTGGCACATCATAAATACACCATAACTGCTTGTTGAATGAATAAATGAATGCAGAGCTGCAAGCCCTAAGTTCCACATAAAAATACTATAATGCATGATGTGCAGTTCTCAGGGATGAATTCCAGGGAAGAGGAGGACAGCCTAGATTACAAAGAACAATTTTGCCTTTTCTCTTTCTCCCATCATTCAGACTCTGAAAACAGGCACGGCTTAGGGTAGCACCAACTAGAGTAAGACAATATCCTAGCTGAACAAAATGGTCCTAGGCTATAAGGTCAGCAGAAGCCATTCAAAGAGAAGGAAAGAGCTCTGTGCCCCCTCATGCCTCCTGATTTCTCTCTCACGTACTCCTTCTCCATTTCTCCATCCCACTGCAGTTAAGGGCTTTGGCACAGGGATGAAAGACACAGATCAGACTCAAGGGTGCGGATCTGGCAGCAGGCACAGAAGCATCTCCCATCCTGCACCAAAGCCCACAAGGAAAGATCCAGAGGGACAGTGACTCAGGCCCCGGAATAAGTCCACCTAGAACAGTGCTGAGAATGGAAAAGAGCAAGAATTTCACAAGGACATTAACTGTCAGATCTTTTTTTGTTAAGTGTTTTTAAAGTAAAGGCTTCCACCCTAACCCCAGAAAAATGGGCCCAAGTTGAACCCAGTACTTCACAAGCTGAAAGCCAAACACAGCTTCTTCATCCTCTCAACCCACCTGCCTGCAACACTCACCGTGACAGGCATCTCCCAGGCCCAGGTTAGGACCTTTGCTTCAACCTTAGCTTGCAAAAACGCTTCTTCCCCAGCTAATAAACTGTCCCCCCCCTAAACCACCATGTTGCAGTAACAGAAGCCTCCCCCTTCCTCCATCCCCCCTCTCAGCCGATAACACAACCTACAGCAGGTTGGCCCCATCCAATTAGTTTGAATAGCTTCATGCCAAGGAAATTGCTGCTTCTATTAAAAATAAAAGCACACAAGGCAGGCAATGGGCTGTGAAAAGTATGAGTCTGGCGTAATTATGAAGGTCGAGGTTAAGGTTACCAAAAGATACACGCAAAGATTTCCAGAAAGCCTGGGGGATAAAAATACATATTTACATATCTACAGATATACAGATGAACACACATGGAGAGAATTTACACAGCAGATCTAAATAACATCTTCTCCAACAGAGGAAAAACAAAAATCAGATGCTACTCTCAAGTAATTCTTTTGGCTAAAAAATAAAAATAAAAACTAAAACAGGAGGAAGAGGGGCCTAGTAGACTGCTTTCAAAATAACCACATTCATCTCGTGTAATTTCTGTTATCTTGGCTACATCCTGGGGACCGGATTACAGTTGGGTCAGGAAACAAAACTAGTCAAATCCACCAAGAGCCTTGGCTCTTAGAAAAACATATTCCCATTCTCTGAAAATCCTCTCTTCCTCAAATGCCTACTCCTGGGAGTGGGAAAGTTGGGTAGAAGGAGAAACCCCTCTCTCTTCTTAAAGCTACTCCATCTCCACCCTTCAGCCCTCACATCACAATTTCAAGTTTAAGGAGGATGACAAGCCCAGCACCCTACATTTGATGTGAAGCTTTACACTTTCACACATGCGTTTTCTCATCTGATCCTTATAATTCAGTGAGGCAGACAAGAATTGGCTTGCCAATTTTTAAAAAAATAATAAAATAAAAGGCCACTGAGGTAAACAATTTCCAGCAACGTCCTTCCACCCCACAAGCCCGGTCACTTCCAAATCTCAGTTTTAAATTTCTCAAGGACAATGATTCACTGAGCAAGGGAAGGGGGAAGGGAGGGTCAACTGGTCAAAACCCATTCATACACTGAACAACTAGAAACCAGTCTTGCTGCATCAGCATAAGATTTTAATTCACGGCGCACTGAAAGAGTCCCACCATACCTTCCGCCAACACCTCGTCCACAGTGACCTGCTGTCGCCCAATGCCAAAGACCCTTCCGATGTAGCCACTGCCCAGGCCCGAGGTGCTGCCCCCACCTCCGCTGGAGCCGGAGCCCAGGCCAGAGCCGCCCTGCTCTCGCCGGGAGTCGAAAAACTTCTTCATCTTGCGAATAGGAAGCAGTAAAGCAAAATACCGACGGTTTCTGGATTTTTTTTTTTTTTTTAAAAAGAAAACAAGAGATCCAAGGATTTCTTCTCGGATTTCAGCTCGGAGAGGAGCCACCCGAATCCGGCCGTGGGGGTGGGGGCTGAAGGAGGATGCCTATAGGAATATGCGTGTCAATCGCGCCGCGGTCCCCTCCTCCTCAAGAGAGCGATTCGTGTAAGTTTAAACCTGTGATGACAGAAAAGAGAGAGGATGAATCAGTAACACACTTACGAATTCTGCCGCTGAGTCCTAGAGAGAGCAAAAGCCATCATCCCGGGGAAACGCTTCATGCATTTTCCTAGCAGAAAAACCCTAGGGCTGAAAACCCGGCAGAGCCCGGGACCCCGGTGCCCGCGGCTCGGAAAAAGGGAGGATTCGGCCGCCTCGGGCAGCGCCAACCGAGCCGGGCACTGCCTCCCCCTCCTCCCGGGTCTCCCCGCCGCCCCGAGAGGCAGCATCCCGGCAGCACCCACTTGAGACAGCTCGGTGGCTGGCGCCCAGCTACCAGCCCTGCAACATTGTCACGGCCGCCGGGCCGGCCTAAGACGCGGAGAAGAGGCGGCGCTGCAGCGAGAGCCGGGGCCGCGTTCGGCGCCCGCCCGCCCGCCAGCTGATCCCCGGAGCGCCCAGCGGAGACTGACCCGCCGCCCCTCCCCCGCGCGCGCTCCCGCCCGGCTCCATCCACCCAACCAGGAAGTGAACCGCCGCCGGAAGTGCCTCTCGGGACGGCGCGGCGACGGGCCGAGGCCCTCTTGTTGCTGCCGCTCAGTCGCGATAGACGAGAAGGAGTCGTCGGAGAGAAGGGGACCCGGGATGGGGGTGTCTCAGTGTGGAGAGAGTTTTAGAAAAGAACTTTTATCGTCCGGCCCGCATGGCACTATGGGAAAGGTAGTTCGGCGCAACCCAGCGGTTGGACTACAACTCCCAGGATGCCCCTGAAGGAGCGAGCGAGGTGGCTGCGGTGGCCTCATCGGCCTCGAAGGTGGTTAGTGGGGTGGTGCATTTGTGGGGATTCGGTTATTTAAATATATCCAGTAAAAAAACTGCCAAGGACTAGGAAACTGCTGCATGTACCACCCTTTTGGAGCCATCTTATTTGCGGCTTGACCTCCCTGCACAAGGGATTCTGGGGGTTGTTTCCGAAAGGATCGAGGCTGACACCTGAAGGCGCGGCTTAACCTCTTAGCCCCTAGCCTGTCCTGCGAGGCTTAACGACGTCACCTGGGCAGAAAGTGGAAGACAAGGGGTGATCGGGAGAATTTTGCTGGCAGTTGGTACAAGGCCACACCCGAACGCCAACCCTAAGTAAAACCTGTACCCTTCTCCCCTCAACCTCAAAAGCTGTTTTTGCTCCCAGTTGTTACTGAGAACTACTCTGCGGTCAGCTCTGAGCTAGGCACTGTGAGAAAACTTGAGACAGTGTTTCGTCTGGGAATCTACAGGCGAGACTCAAACCGAGAAACTTGAGGGGTGTGTGCAGGGCAGATCCTAGGGTACCAGCAGATCCAAATTGCTGGTCTGATCCCATACTTTAGGGTTTGGCTGCCGACAGTGACGCTTAATTCTTCCACCTTTCCTGATGCTATGGGTGGGCCTGACCTTCACAAATCCCCTCACACAAAAACCCAAGGCTGACTTTCTGTTCTTTCTTTTTCACTTCAAGATTTCCTCCTTGATGCTTATTTTACCCTGATATCGCCTGAGTGCCAAAGTCCATTGGGTGGACAACGTGATTTTCATCTGCCAAATGCAGAAGATTTGGAAGGCCGGTTAGTACCCTTCTCCATCCCTAGATTTCCTGATGGGTGATGCTGAAAGTAGTTCCAAATCCCTGCCCCCACCCCCGCTGCCCCCCAAAATCCATGATTTTTCTAACCACCTGAATATAGGTTATTTCTCACCTCCACCCGCTCTCCCTAATTCTGCAACAGCGCTCTTGGCTTGTAATTCATCCCAGAACGTTTTCAATAGGCATTTGAGGAGAGGACAGAGAGGTACTCCGGGGGGAGAGGGGGGGTGGTATTTCTTACCCTCTCTAATCTGAATGTTGAACTGAGCCGTGACTGAACTGAGCCGTGCCTGCTGCTTCTCCTTCCTCTCTTCTTCTCCCTCTTCTCCTCCTCCTCCCCCCCCCCTTTTTTTCAAGTAGTGCCTTTGTAGTTAAGCTTCCTGTGTAGAGACAGCATTTTTTTCTTCCAGAGGGAGTCAATGTTGTCACCTCAGTTCACAAATTCATGCAGCCACCTCCAGGGTGGAATGCAGCACCTGCTAAAACATTCCCTCAAAGGAAGCCCACGGAGGCATGTTCTCTGCACTTTCCTTAAAAGGCTAGATTTTGTCTTAAGGAAGTTTGGAATAGACCTTAAAATAGATGGGAAAGCTCATTGGAATTAGATTCATTGACCTCCATCTTTATCTACATCTATTGATCTTGGCTGACTTTTTAAAGAAGTTCTGTTGGGTCCTAGAATCTGTTGCTATCTCAGTTTTTACTTTTCTAGACATTCCTGTTACCAGACTAGGCCAGACTTATGCAAATCCCAACTCTCACTTCCTTGGAACAAAAACTTGTTTTTTTCTGATAGGATTAAGGCAGCTAACAAGCATCCACCTGATGCTTTGAGGAGGTGTTTTTTTTTAAAAGAAGCAAAAGAAAGAAAAAGCATTAGAACACTGGGTTTCTTGCTTTCCATTCTTTCAGAGACTAATAACAATTATAAGACAAAATTCCAGTTTTTAATCCTTTACATATAATAAATTATTTGATCCTCATAACAACTCTATGAAATAAGGTAATATAAATTGTACTCATTTTTTAGATGGGGCAGCTGAAGCACAGAGATAAATGAGTTGCCCAAAGTCACACAGATAGTGACCGGCGAAGCTAGCGCTCAAACCCAGACATTTTGGCTTTAGAGCCCAGTGTTTAACTAGCTACACTAAACTGCCTACTTAGAAAAAAAATATATAAACTGATTAAAATACTAGAAAATAGTTAGAAACATCTGCAAGTAGCAAGGGACCAGAAGACAGGAAATATCTGCCACTCCATAGCTGTGCCCTAGACCACTTAGATCTCTGGACCTATTTCCTCAGCCATAAAACCAGTGCCCTCTTACAACTCTTAACAATTTTCTTGTTCCTGAGTGCAAAATAATCACACATCAGCCACCATAATCCCAAAACTCTTACCACACTCACTTGCTGTGTAATTTGCCCCACCCTTTGTTGCATTCCTATTCAACTTTTCATGTATATTGTCGCCTCAAGTACTCAAAGTCAGGAACAGTCTTCTACTTATCTCTTTGGGCATTCAATACAAAAGTTTATTTGGTATGTGTCCTTACCAGTATTTAAATAAGCCAAATAATTGACTTCAAATTAAATGTGACATGTAAGAGAGCAGTCTGATTAAGGTAGAAAAATTGATTTGAGGGCGCCTGGGTGG